AAATAAATAAATAAATAAATAAATAAAACAGTTCTTTAAGAAATGCATAGAATTGATATTTTTCGGGGTAAAAAATTTCGCTATAAAAATTTACTGATACAATAAACTGCTGCTATTTTATTAGAAGAGTGCTTTTGCAAATGATCAACTGATCGAGGGGTATGGGAGGGGCAAAGACGGGGATGCAAAGAGGATGGAATGGTGAAGGAGGAGGAAGTGGGGAAGTTGGATTGGTGAGGATGAAGGTGAGGCTGACGGTGGCGGTGACGGTGAAGGAATTAATCAAACAATTTGTGCTGCAGTGATGGTTATTTCATACAGATCGTATTAATGTACAAGCAAATACATAGACATTATATAATATATAGCTTTTTTTAGGGTAACGATACAGTGCTTGAGTGCGTCATAAGTACCGATGAATATGTAGAACCAGAAGCCTTTGCATCATTTAACAACAGGCACAGCAACGATCGCGTTTATCTTCCTGAAGTATGGTTGCCACTCAAGTTTTTACAGTTCTTCTATCTATTTATTTATCTATCTATCTATCTGTCTAACTAACTATCTATCTATCCAATATCTATCCATTATCTATCTAGTTATTTATCTATTAGTTTAATAAATTATCTATCATTTATTCGTTCGTTCATTCATTCATTCGTTCATTCATCCATTCATTCATCCATCAATCCATTCGTTTAGTCATTGATCATTCATCAATTCATTCATCTAACTTTCTTCTGCTATCATTTAAAAGAGTTTTTTTCTTTACAATATAAATAAGCTTCTCTTTTTAGTTGGTTCTCCTGCGTGTAAAAAAATTGGTGAACAAATGGTATAAGGCTATCAAAAACTACATAGATTCAGTATAATCAAGAAATAAATAAGATAGAACGTAAACAATGATATATTATGGAGTAGTAATGTATTAATAGCAACAGTAACAGTGAAATAGTTGTGATAGTTGTTAGGATGATGCTATGCGCTAAGTGATATATTAATCTATCATAAACAGTAGAAAAAAGTATTCAATTTAAGTGAATAATAATTGATTTACATTTTCCGTCTACAACAACTACATTATTAAGTGGTTAAAAGCAAGTGAAATTATTGACTGTTGTTCTAAAATGAAGAAAAGAAGATGGTACACTTACAGGTTTATTACTTATTACAGGAAATTCGTAAAAATTATTTAAGCAATGTAACGGGTGGAATTGTTGATGGAAGATTATTTTGCCAATTTTCTGTCCAAATAATCCCACAAATCAGATTAAGCAATGGAGAAATACCAAAATTATGGAGTTTGAACAAGGAATATTACATTATTGCGGCTACTGGATCAGCTCAACCGGACGGTAAGTGTTCCGTAAAAAGCTCTTTTGCCATGGCCAAAAAAAGTGTATAACTAATTAAGTAAAATAATATAAAATTCGAAGAAATGGCTGTATAGTCCTCAAAAGTAACACTTAAAAAAGTCAAAAATTCCGTTTTTTTTATTGTTTTTCTGTGCATGAAACACACGCGCGCTAAATAAGCAGAAGTCAACAGTATGAATGTGGGAATGTGGTCCGACTGAAATGCTGATTTTTTAAAGCAGGAAGTGCTACTGAAGCTCAAATGACGTGCTAAGATTGCGCAACTGATCCAATACTATAATTTATTTTCATAAATGAGAGTTATGAGACTTCCGTTCAATTTGTACCGATTTTTTTTTCTTTTTTTTCTTTTGTTCAACAAATATCGTTTTCATACAATTTATTTTTCTTCACTACTTACAAGTTTCATAGTTTTTAAATTATTCAATTAATGACATCGCTTTTCTTTAGTTATTTCTTTTTTTCTGATTAATTTGGTTTGCCTGTTTTGTTCTGTAGGTTTTGGTAGACAATCTGATGAGATCAGATCCCATAGTGAACAGTGCAATTTATATGTTCGGCTTAACAGTTCGACAGTTCAAATTAACTTTAATTGTTGACGAACATCAACTAAAACTATAGATATAAATACACATTTGCATCAAATGATACAGTTTCGTAATCATAGTTGCAATGGCAAGCAAGCGTTAAGCCAGCCAGCCAGGTTACAGTTCTGTAGGCCCCGAACTTGCGGAAACTGGTCATCGTCGATAACGGACAGATACTAGTTGACTCCTTGAATCTTCTTTGTTTATCTGTTTCTTTATAATATTTTGCACTGCAGAATTAAATCCACACGACACATCACCGGATTCCTACTTCTACCCCATTGTATCAACGGAATCTTCAAATCCATCAGAGACCGGCCAAATTCAATACGACTTAAGTGACGAAATCAAAAACGCAACAGCTCCCGTACCCTCCCTAAACTCCTCAACAGTATCCACAGCTTCATCGGCGACTGCGCAATTATTATGTAAAAACATAATTTATCCTATACTTTTATTTTTATCGCTACATTTCAATTAAGCTAAAGTTTAATGCAATCAAACTTGTTTTTTTTTCTGAGTTTCGAAAGATGGATACAAAAAAACCACTTCCACAGCAAACTAATTATAGCAACAATAAAAGCCATACATCTTTTCTTGATCTTTGTTTTTTTTATCGTCAGTTACTCCGTCACTTTGATCGAACAGCCGTTTGTTGAAAATATGTAAATACATCTAGTAGGTTTTTTTCTTTTTCATCCGATTACAAGAAACTGTAGAAATAAAAAGAAAACTAATAAATCAAATACCATAAACAACATAAAACTTGTTAAGGATATACAATGTCATGCAAAAAGAGGCAAACAAACATCCAATTGATTATTAAAAATAAAATAATTTCTCCGCAATAAGGTCATGCCTCAGTACTAAGGATCTATTTGTAAATAGGGCGGACGGTTACTATTGACAACGTAATCCATCAAATGATTGTAATAAAAAAGAAAAGGAAAACAAAAGTGCTTTTTAAGACCTTCTTACTGTCACAGAAAAGCCAAATCTAGAAAAACGTGTTAATAGAAAATCAATGCTTTATCTTCCCCCTATTGTTTTCCTTCCTGTAGTTTACAGGACAAATACAAAATAGAGCCTTAAAATCGAATCTTTAGGAAGTTTAGGATAGAAATCTTAAAATGACTTCAGGTGAACCATTTTATGGTCTTAAATATATTAATTCTGCAAAACATTCTCGTGCAGAAGTTCAATGGTAAAATTAATGATTTCTATCATGAAGCAAAACAAATGGCTGAAGAGGACTCAGTTAATCAGTCTGAACAAACTCAACGGATGCGTTTGTTTTAACAGAACAACAGTGCTTAACCAGATGCTACAAACCGCTGATTATTGCAAAAAATGAACGAACTCTGAGGAGCAAACAGTCGGCGGTAATGCGTTTCGCAAAACAGGTCGCCAGCTGCAGAACGTTGACAATTTTCAGCCCTGAATCCCACAATAAAATCATATTGCACAGTTAAGCATCTAATCAAATGCTTTGTAATCGTCATTTAATAAAAAGCATACGCCTTTTTACGGTCTCAGTTATGAAAGATAAACTATAAAAAGGGCAACCTTAGAAAAAAAATAAAATATTTTAAAGTTTTTGTTCTATCTGGAAAACTTGAGAGCCGTCTAAAAGCATTTTTGACAACAACTTTTATAGTCATCATTTTATTCTACCAAAAAAACCAATGCAAGTTTGCTGAAGAGTTAATAACACGTACAATGTTATGTACATAACACAGGTTGTTGAAAATATAACTGGAAAATTTTGTTATCATTTAACTAGAAACTACCTGAGCGGTGAATTGCAATGCTTACACCTGAAACATTTTTGGTGGTAAAGTTGCGAAAAACACTCGAAACGTTCAGCCATGTAGACACCTCGTTTACAAGCGTCACACATTGGAGGTGCTGTTATTTGTGCCCACCAAGCCTAAATTGAATTGTTTCACAGCAAATCAGTTAATTCATTTCCATAAAAAACACAATATGTCAGTCATCGAGCCGGCTCATGAACTTCCAATCCTATACGCTTCTTTCTAAAATTAGTTCATGCATTAAAAAAAGAAAATGAAAAAACAAGAGCAGAAACTTTTAGAGGTAACTCTATAGCATTTCTAAAATTTTCACAGGCAGTATGTTTGAAAAATCATACTAGGATTTTTCAAAAATAGGTGAAGAATAGCAAAATTACCGTTTACAGCTACCAACTTTGTTAGAATTAATATATCGGAAATCAACAATCCGAACAAATGGCCAAACAAACAGAGCGATCAGAATCACTTGTGAAACCACATGCAATTCTGTTAGGCGAGAGACCATGCAACAAAAAAAAAAACAAACTAGCTAACAGATTTTCCAGTAGCCGTTAGTAGTAAAGACACTTATAAGACTCTTATAAAATATGTTATCAAAATCCATTTAATAATTTTAAAGAAACACTTGGAAGCAAAAATCCCCATCTTCCACCCCCTTAACCAACTACATTTGAAATCCGAATGGTAACATTTGAACGCTTCTGGAACATGAAAGCTGTCCATGAGCAACATATAACAACCAGCTAACCAGTCCCCTATTTACAGCGCGTTGTCTTGTTGTTTTGACAGTAATAGCGAAAAGCAGTGAAGCAATGAAACAGTAACATTTATATATTGTAAAAGCAAAAAAGAAAGAAACCGATCAACTCATAATTTATTTTAAATTTTTAAAGTATCACTTTTTTTAAAAATCCACCAAACTTTATTAAATTAAAAAATTAAAATTTGTGACAATTTCATATAGTAAAAACATAGTATTGTAGAAGAAAAAAATAATGTACACAAATATGTCAGTTATTCAAAAGTAAGAAGAAAAATTTTTCAAATTTTTCAAAGCACGAAAAAAAGGAACGATTAAAAGGAAATTATTGCAGTAAGTCCCGTTTGTAAAGAGCGAGCGTTCTCGAAGTGTGCTTTGTCGTCAGACGATGATCAACTTTTGCTGAGCACAATAGGTGAACTGTTGATGGTGCAATTGAAGGTGCAGTTTGAGCCCAACTTATTAATCTGTTTTCTCTTTCTTTTTGTTTTTTGCTCTATTATTTTTAGCTCTGTTTGGATCATCAATAACCAATACTAATTATTGTCATAAATAGAAAATCAATGACAGTTCGAGAATATATGTATACAGAGATAGAATAACCCGCAGTCATCTTACTTATCCTGCAATAATTCCAGGTTCTAACAGAATACCGCAAGAAAAATTATAAAATCTTACTTATCACACTTTTAGTGAGCCGTTGCATAAAAAAGTGAAAGATGTCACTGTAACGAGAGATTATTTTGCAAAGTTACAAAACACAAGTCCAACAAAAATACAAATTTATGTGCTTTTTTTTGCCCAAGCATGGTTTTCACTCAGCGAAAAAGTTTCAGTAGCACTCACTATCTTAACCGGTCGAAACAGCAGAGTTCACCACTGAAGCCTGCCACATCAAATTATGTTTGTTCCAAGTTTCAAAACTTTTTCTCAAATCTTGTCAGCTGTTTGGCACAAGGCTTAAGAACTCTTTGAACACTCTAACAAATTTTTTTTTTTTTTGCTTGTTTACTGCTGCTTCAAGTTTACCATCACTTATCCAAACGACTTACAATTACTTGGAGTAAAATAAAGTAAGAGGAAGAATTTTAAGTGTATTTCACACTTACAGATGTCAAAAAAATTGAGGATCCCAACTAAAAATTATGAAAATGCGTTATACGTCTTAAGAAGACCAGAAGAATTTTGACTTCCCTATCATTATCTCAAAAAAAAGAAAAAAAAAGAAAAACTTTTTTACTGTTTCATACCGCTTGAGCAGCCGTTCGTTGTGGCATTTTACTTTTCTCGGCTTTTTTAGCCTCCTTCCGTTGAATCTTTTCCCATTTGGCAGTCATTTTAGATGCATGGTCGGCGGCCACTTGAATCTCCTCCTTTTGTGGCGCCTTCTCCTCCTCCGGCGGTGACTCCTCTCTCGCTGCTTGTGCTGCTTCTTTCTCTTCTAAAAAATTACAGTGTTTGGAAGCACAAAACTAGGCGCAGAAGAGAAATAAAAAGAAAATAGATGTGGAAAATTGAGGAACCAATTAGTCTGACCCAAAAATGAGGAAGAATAGAAAGAAAGCAAAAAAATAGAAAGAAAGAAGGAGAAAAAAAGAGAATAGAAGCAGTAACGAAAACCATTCTAAACCAGCAGACGCTCAATTTGACTTAACTCCAAATTGTACCTTTCAATCTTGCAAACTCTTCTTCAAGCTGACGTCGCTTTTCTTCCGCCAGTTCAGCCTCACTACGACTACCCGCTTTCTCAAATTGTTCCTTCAAATTCTTTGCTTCCACCTTAAACATAGAGATCAGCCTAATTAAAAGGCACAAATTCTCATGGAAAATCATTTAGTACTTAGGCAATTTAAAACGTTGTTAAATCTCTGTTAAAAAATGCTAACTCAATTTTCTCTAGCAAGAGAGTGAATCGAAAAAAATTCTACGCTTACGTCTCACGTTCCAAAGAACTATACTGTAAATCCAAAAATAGCCTTTATTTACAATATTCATACGCATAAGCTTTTAAAAATCACCTTTATGCCCTCCAAATCAAGTGGCCTTTCATGAGTTTGAACTTTAGCCGGCTCATTTTCAATATTTTTGAATTTATTCATCAAATTTTTCACATCATAAGCGTCCTCGTCTTCAGGCTCATCAGCTAAAAATACAAAAGCTACCATTCGTCCGACTCTTAGTAATGTTTAGATCAGACCAAAACCTACGTTCATCTTCAATAACCCGTTTGTTTATGACTTCTGGGACAACCGTCGGCTTTTTATCCCATTTGCTCTCATGTTTCTCCTAAAATGCGCAATCCATTTAAACGAAAAAAGTGATAAGGAAATCGTTTCTATAATAAGCACAGAGCAATAATTTAACCTTTGGCGTGGGAGAGACCATTGTTGACCCTTCAGCATCAATTTGCTGGAACTTCTCACGGGCTTTTCCAGCCATCTTGATTTCCACATCAAGTTGCTTCTCTAAACAATATCTTAGAATTGCCATTCGGCAAAAATAATTGTTCGGTATTTTTTGCTAATCGTTATATATTACGAGCCAGAGGTCCTTATTTTCGGAAAAGAAGTGAAAAGCTTGCTTACTTTCAACACACTTTCCTTGAGAGTGATAAGTATATAAAATAATTTAGCTTTTCAAAAAATAGATGTTGTTATTGTACAAAGAATTGACTCAACTACAAAAATACCTCCATGAACTGTTTTGAAAGCCTCTCCCTTTTCAAACCGGTCTTTAATTGAACCGACTTCTGGAGGTGGAAGCACTTCTTCAGCAGCTTCATCCGGATTTTCACCCTGAGCAGCCTTCAACAGAACATGTGGGAAATACAAAAAAAAGTTGCAAAAAAACTAAGTTTGATAGTTGATGGCTTAAAATAAGCGTTGGTTTAAAAGCCCGTGTGGCCACAATGGTAAAATCATTTGAACTGTCTTTGAACATAGATTGTGAAAAAAGTCCTTTCAAAAACAGAAAAATCATATATAAAAAATTATATTTCTCAAGTTATCATTACCTCTTCCCAACCGTAACACTTGTTCATCTCAAAAAAACCAAAACAATCTTACCATGTGCTTGTGTTACCAATAACTGAAAAGACAACGAAAATATATTAAACGCACATGGAAGGTAGTATACTATTCAAAAGTTTCCTCCTTCCATTACACTGTATTTTCAATAAATCCCACTAGCAACCAGTAGTCAAAAATTTGTTTTGAACTTCACCCTCTTTTTGGCCAACTTGTACTAACTCAATCTGGGTTATTAGACAAGTTTTTAAAAAACAGAAAAAAAAAAAGTAAAGAGTTGCCAAAATATTGGCAACTGAAAAAAACCCTATTAATTATGGAAAAAACATGTTTCTAAACGTCCGTCAATTTTCTTTGTCAAATCCCTACTGTAAGAGCACTTCTAAGTGTTAAAAAAATTTTTGATACCTTTTCTGCAGCTGCACGTTGTGCGGCTGCCCTTCTGGCAAGTTTGTAGCGTAAAAATTCAGCTTCAATTTCCTTCTTCTTCAATTCAGCTCGTTCTTCTGGTGTCATGTCTTCCTCGTCTGCTCCACCCTAAAATCATTAACTTCAGTTACAAAGAAATTATTTAGCAAATAAATGTAACCAATCGTGAGTTATGAAAAAAACTCAGTTAAAAAGATATCAGCGAGCAGCACTAGTAGTTCTAGCATTTTTGAGCTACAAAAAGTAAGGTACCTGACAACGACAATTACTGCGAAACAATGTAATAAATTCAAAATATCCCCGTAAACTCCCGCAAAACAACTTAGTAGCAAACCTAGTTAAAAAGACAAGCCAAAAGAAACAAGAGAATATAAAATAAAAAATTTCTTCTAGGAATTCGGCAACACTGAGAAGATATTTCAAATGTTTAATGCAGTGGCGTTGAAAATGGAAGCCCAACAGGCTAAGGCGAATATCCGTGTTTATCATTGCATTTTATCTCGATAACCCGAAAGTTATTTCACACACATCAAATCCCTCATTTCTGCCAAACATTTTTTTACAGCAATCACTGTTTAGTGTTTCTTTGTATTACAAAATATCAACAAGCTAGCATCTGTTGCAGCAAACGGCACAAAATTCAGTTCAACTCTCGCGAAAGACTGCTCTTAGGACGAAAACATCAGAGAACGCCAAGCTGATGACGTGATAAACTTTTTTTTTTCAGCTTAAAAATCTTCATTTTGCACATAATATTTGTGAGAAAAAAAAATCAACTATCAAACCATTCATTAAGCTTAAAAAAGGTAGAAGAAGTTAACCAGCCACTTTTAAGTAAGTATTAATTTATTCTACCTTCCCTCCTTCCCGACAAGCCAAAGAGCTTTTCAGCAAATAAATGCAGGCCTTTCGAACAAAAAAACTTTCAGTAAAAAAGGGAATAAAGGAACTATTAAGCAAACTTAATTCTATTCTTAGCACTTTATTCAGTCTATTATTCTACTTTTTGTAACACCTCCTCTTTTCTTTCTCTTTGAAAGTTACATATTTCTTATGCTATTTTAATCCATAGCAGTTTCTCTAGCACCAATAAACTATCATAACAATGCAACTATTATATCAATATCTACTATAAACCTTTGGTCTAAACAAACTGTTCCCAAAAGAATGTAGAAAATTCTTTTTTGTAAACAAAAAAATGATTTTTTACGAAATCTTTTGACACCACATTACATTATTAATATCTAATACTTGACAACACTGAAAAGATGCTAAACTAAAAAAAAATTTTAACAGTAAGAAAAAATTATATGCTTAATAAGTAACCTATAAAGTAAATACCTCTAAATACAAATAGTAACCGTAGAAAAAATCAGAACTACACAAGTAGAAGCTATTAGAAAAATTTCAAAAAATTTTACCTTTTCAAATGCTGCCTTAATATTACCAAGTCCCTCGGCCTTAACATCAATTGCAGTCCTCTCCACTGGAGCACTTTCTTCACCCTTCTCAAACCTTTCCTTGAAATCTTGCAATTCTGGAACAGAAAAAATTATTGCTTCTGTAACATTTAAACAGAAAAATCTCATGTTTCAAAAAACTTTCACAGTTTGCAGACTATCAACACCATTACCAAGAAACAGCTGCTGAGTGACTCACTGCAAATGCTGATATTTGTGTAACGGGAAAGGAAATCACTACATTCAAAAATAAAACAGAGCAACCTCTGAAGCATAAACTATAAAACGCTTACGTTATTTATTCTGACAAAAAACTCACTTTTAAATTCAATTTCTTCAGCAGTTTTCTCAATCGGAGCACTCTGAAACGCTGAACCCTCTAAGAAGGACCGACGAGCATCAGCAACAGCTAAAAGGTATTCTATTAAAAAAATATGATGTCCTCAAATGACATATTTTGGTTCATGACTATGTGGCATTAGTTTAAAAGCAAATTTATCGCCAGTGGATGTACTGACTGACCTTTCGTGTCCAGTTCACTGCTGTCCCATTGCTTCTGAACAGTTTCTTCAGCTTCCGTTCTTTCTTTAAAACGGTCCTTAACGCCTGGGCCCTTCCTTAGTTCTTCCAATTCTTCTTTTGACATCTCTTTCATTTCAGCACCTTCAACGTTACCAGTCTTCCACTTATTTTTGATATTTCCAATCTGTAACCAAAGTTACAATTACCCATCGAAGTTTAATGAAATAAAACAAACTATATGACATCAATATATATAACCTCTTCCAAATTTAAATCTTCCAATGGTTTCTTTTTATCTTCTTCTGTTGCTTCTTCTGTTTCACCTTTCACAAATCTGCAAATAATCAGACTTATATAAATCACGACAATCTATATCATCAAAAAACAATATAATAAACATAAACGAAAGTTTAGAAAGTATCTGCTGTAAAATCCTCATGTTTCTTCAGTGTAAACAAAAAACAAAATTTTGTGGCTGAATATCCAAGAAAACTTACTTCTCTAGATTACCCTTCACTTTACCAGCGATGACCTCTTCCTCCAACTCAAGTTGGGTCTTCTTCTCCACTGTGCTAGCCTCCTTTGCTGAACTTTCCCAATCTCCTTTGCGCTGCTTCAGTGAACCAATTGCCGCGAGGTCGTCTTCGGCTTTATAACCAGCTAAAAAAGTAAAGGCATAGTCACGACTATACCACACTCCCGATCAAACACTACCTTCTGTATATTGTAGTGGCGTTGTCAAAAATTTTATTGCTGAGAGGTATAAACACAAAATGTCCCCTGTAAAACTTCAGAAAAAAAATACACAATTTCGTTTTAAATTATTCTTGGAAAAAAAAAAATAAAAAAAAAATTTACAGAAAAAACTCTGAGCACGGCTCACCATTGTCAGAAATACTATGCGTTCTTAACCACTACATTACTACCGCTGCATCAATATAACTGTATCCATCTTTACTACAGAAAATGTTTAAGCTACGGGGTAATAAAAATATACCAATGCACGGGGGAATAAGTATAAAAGCTACCAGTTGCAAAAAAAATGCCATACAGGTACAAAAACGTATGACTGAAAGCTGCATGTCACATGGCCTTGTTAATCCTCACCTCGTTTCTAGGCTTCTTTTATTAACTTTATGTTGTTTGTATAGTCGACCAGTCAGATACTTAGTTTTCTTAGTGGTCTATTAAACAAGGGTGACGTCCATTCAGCTGAAGAAGTTTTTGCTGGCAGTCAAAGAAAAGAAAAAAGTTAGCCTTCTGTACAGCAGCTATTTGCAGAAACAGTAAATGTTGCTGCTGTTGGTGATGACAATGACGATGTAATTGAGCAAACCAATATAGTTTTAGGTTAGCGATTGTCAAAATTGACCGAAAAAAAACTTCAAACTGACTGGTGGTAATGACCATCGGAAGAATAAAAAAAAAAAAGAGAGGTAAAGAGAAAGGCGATTGTCTCAATGACGGTCATCTAAACATTGAAGTTCACTGGGTCATTATCGACTGGTCTATGTATATGTGTAAAAAATGAATTGCATTTTTGATAAATTGCTATGCTGCAGAATTTACGTGGAAAACAAGAAGAAGGAGAAGAAGAAGAAAAATAAGAAGACAGACATTATCACCCCCAAAATAGGTGTTTTATAAACTACAGAAATAAATGTGCGGATACCTGTAAGGCAAAAAAAAAACTTTTTTAAACCAAAACTGAAACTAAAAAAAATTTTTCCTTACAGTGTTTTTATTTTAGATTGGTAATTTTTGTACCCAATAATTACCATTCTCCGTGCACCCCTTCCCTCTTCCCCACCTCGTTCTTTTGCCTTGTTAGATTCTTGAAAAAAAAAAAAGATTACTTCACCTTGAACTAAAATTTCAGTATAGTCTTCTGTAAACAATAAATTTTTTTTTCAAACAATAAATGTTCAATCATTGAAAATGTAATTTTCTTTTTCCTTATTCACTTTTACAACAATAAGAAATATAAAGAGAAAAATAAATAAATAAAAACAAAAAAAGAACTAGAAAGCTTACATCGAACAACATCAGCACCAAGTTTTTTTGGTTTTGAACTTACAGCAAAGTCTTCATCATCATCTTCAACACGTTCATCCTCTAAAAATAATTACATCCATTTGAAACATAGAACAACGGTAACTGCTATCTGCCAATAAATAACTGTTTAGAACAAAAATTGTACATTACTTGTAAATTGAACAGATTTTAATTTGCTGTTGATATTAATACAAAAATATTGTTCAAAAATTAAAAGACAAAAATTTTAAAAAAAAGGAAAAAGATAGACAAAACGAAACAGTGTATTCAGATTTATAACCTTCAGTGGTTGCTGGATCCATTGTTTTAGCAACATCTGGATTAAACACTTCCATATAATGTACCTTACATAACAGTCGACCTTCATGGATATTATAATTTGTTGGTCTAAAAATATTTCTGCATATAATTAATGCCTTCTTTCATTTCCCTCTCATTACGTATTAATTGTATGAGCAAAAAAAAAAAAAAATTTTATTCGCAACTTCATTTTTCAACCATAAAAGCAAAACAAAACAATAGAAAAAAAACAGAATTCCTAATAATTTTAACATTTATTCAATTGTTCATTTATTTATTTTTTAACTGTAGCTAAAAACAATAATATAACGACTGTTGGTAAATCATCTGAGCAATTCTTTTTTTCACTTATGATTTTCCAAAACTGATGATGTTTAGTTGATTGAACGGTTAAAATTTGATGTGAGAATTTTTTTTAAATGTTATAAGACAAAAAAAAAGAAGACTTTTTTTAAAAGAACCAACGAACTGCCTGGTACACGAGATGGATTGGTAGGGAAGCGGGTGGAGGAAAAATGCAGGAAAGAATCTTGCAAAGAGGAAAGGAAATGAATATGCCATTTGATTTATCAAATTTTAACTACCATAAAGTTGCATTCATTTGTGCATACATTATTCAT